CTGTCATGCCTCTGCAACTCCATTTGTTTGATGGTACTATGAACTCCATGATCACCCAAGCTGTCAATCTGCCCATCCGATTCGCCACTGGTGAGGTTACTCTGATGACATGCTATGTGTCAGGGCACACACCCGACTAGCCCGGACCCGGACCCACATCCGACCCACTTCCACCCGCTGCACTTCCCACATGCATGCACGCTCTGCGCACTGCATGCTCCGGGCCCGGTTCCTACTCCTTCATGTGACTTCCGGGTATCCCCGGAAGTTTTCCTGATATGGTGGCCACTGTGGGAAGATGAGAAGTTAGCTTCCTTCTCATCTTCTTACCCACAGTAGAGTTGTGCCCTGGACAGGGCTGGTTACACCACAGGCTGTGGACCATAGGGGAGGGTCATGGGGACCTGGGAGTCGTCCCCTGACACTATGTCACATCATTGGATGGCTCTTGCGCTATCATCCTAGGACATGACTGGCTCACCTGACACAATCCATTGATTGACTGGGTCTCGAGCATTATAACTTTCCGGATGTCTGAGCAATCCAGTCCAACCACCCTGAGCTGCTTGCCAAAGTCAAGCATCACCTTATTTGTGTTCAACCATGGAGCGCCCAATATAGCGTCGTACCTTTCAATGTTCACAACATCGAAATAGTGCTTCTTATTCTGACCTAATATCTTCAGGTCAACATTTGTTCCATAGTAAATGCAGGAACGACTCCCTTTGGTCCCCATTTGGAGTACCAAAGGGTTTGGTAGCTCCAGCAGAGGGATGTGGCATGCCCTGACAAAGTCAGGGGACAGTGCATCTGTCTCTGCTCCACTATCAAACAGGGTGAATGCTCTGGTCCCATTGATTTCAACGAGACCAGTCAGAGTGCGGTGCAAGTCCGCACTCCAATCCATAGGGTATTTACCCACCTCTCACGATAGTCTAAACTTCATGTCAAACATGGGCGGGTTTTTCTTTGAAATTTTAGCAGGAACCATTTCAGTTTCCTGCTTGCGAGGGGGTAACTGGCCCTCAGTCTTGAATTGATGAACGGGTTCATCAACCAGTTCAGCATAAATTTCTTCTTCGCTCAGGAGTTTCTCCACTCTCTGAGCCGAAGCGAGTTTTAGGGCATAATTGTCCTCGGATGGGTCCATGAATGTCATCCCTCATAGACCCACATGCCCAAAGGTGACCTCACCTTCAGGCTCACTTTCTAACTCATCCTGAGGATCAGGGTGTTCATATGGATCATCAACAAGGCAGTCATCCCCTTTGTCAATAGCAGCTGCTGGGTCATCTGGGGACTCCCCAGATGGCTCTTCTTCTTCCACCCCAGCTTCTGTTACTGGGGTGTCATCATTCATGTCCTCATCAATCCCCAGAGCGAAAATTTTGGCCCTAGGTGGGTGATTTGGGCATTGGAACAAATACCCGATTTTGCCACATTTGTAGCAAAGTGGGTTACCCTTTGCATCCTTTGAGGAACGACATTGATAACTGGAAGATCCGGTATTCAAAGCATATCGGTTATTATTTGGAGGAGGCACCTCAGTAGGCACCTCAGTCTGAGTTCTTGACAACGAAGCCACTAAGGGTTTTGTCACCACCTGTGTTTTCTTAGCACTATAGGCTACAGATGGAGGGAAACTACATGTCGTAGTTACCTTTGAAGTGGAGGTTGCCACCCCTTTCGTTGAAGGGGCAGCGCTGTGAGAGCCACTCGATTTCATTTTTGAGGGATTTGTAAATTTGGAGGATGTCAGTCCTCCCCTATACGCATTGATGGCATGCATGGAATCATATGTGTGGTCTACATGTAATACTGCAGTCCAAAGGTCATCTTTGGATGAGAAATCAACCGAAATTTGGTCACGCATTACTAGCTCTTCCTTCATGTACAAAGGAAGAGCATTCAAGAAATGCTCATTGAAACTCGCCTGGTCAGGGCGAGTTATCATCTTCTCCAATGCTTGGAGAAGTTGAGTATAGAAGTGCTTGATTCCTTTGGAGGAATCATATGCAAGGGTTTTGAAGAGTTTGGTGGCAGGAACTGCTGCCGATCTCTTCACATATGTTAACATCAGCTTGTTTAACAGCTGAATGAAGGTAGGGGTCGACCCCTCCTCAAAACCTTGCTTCATATCATGAAGCACAGTTTGTTTGGGGTCACCGTCTAAGGTGCAAGCTAGAGCATCTATATGAAGCTCGTTATAGCTCGTGCCTTTCCACCCATTTCCTGACATCCAGGAAGTGAGCTCCACCAGCCAGTTCTTGAATTTTTCGAGATTGTTTTCCCCAGACCACAAAGTGGTGGGGAATGGCACAGAGTTCTTTTTCAGTAACTCTGGTTTTACGTCAGCTGGGAGTGTTAGGATACAAGCCTTTACAAGGTTTGATACCCTTCTTACAAGATTGCCCATGAAGCCCTCCGGGTCTCCAGGGGTCATACTGTTAGGGTCCCTAGAATAGGACCTAAGAGTAGTTTCGATGAACCCATCATTCAGGTTGGTGGCACTTGCCATTCTCAGAACAGTTGAGCTCGTCGCCCAAAGAGGGTTCAGATTGTTGCTGAGCTCTCTTTTCACAGGAGAAATTAGGTTTATCAGGGCCTCAACCTGAGGACCCGGCATACAACGAATGGTAGGCTGGGGAGTCAAGACTTCTTGTCTCAGCTCCTGCTCTCGTTCGTGTTGTTTACTAGGCCAATTAAGGCCAAAGAAGGTGGCCACATCACTGTCACCACCACCAGGAGACACTTGCACCCTGAACCACCCATAGGTATTTAACCTACTCTGCAGTTCTCAAGCATGGCCTTGGCGTTCTGATTCAAGACCGTGCAGCATATAGACATATGCTGCATTGTCATCTACTTGCATCCTATATTCCTTGGATGCTTCACTCGGTGCAGGAGTAGCAAAGAGGTGTCTTTGCTTCCTCTTGATTTCACCTCGCTGGTTGACCACAATGGCCAAACCGGTTCCACAACGAGATATACAAGGCAATCCTGCCTCAACATCTGCATTATCAGAATCTGATGAACTAACGAAAACCACAGGTGGTTCTCGAGAGTTTAAACGAGACATGTTCAGTTGTTCCACAACTGTCATGACCGCCTGCCCCAACATTTCAGTGATGGTCTTCTGTAGACCCTCACTCCTGTTGGCCTCATCATCAGGAGGTCGATTCCATGGCTCGATGTCACGGCCGTGCATTCCAGCCCGTTAGCCGCCCATCCCGATGCCACCCGAGCCCGTTCCCGCTATGCGAGCGTGAGCACGAGCCCCAACCTCAGCCCTATCCTCCCTGAGGACTCCCTGCTCACTCCCCCGCTTGCCCCTAGGCTCCCCTGCACCTGGCCGACTCCCCACAGCCATGCCAACCTTCCCACCCTGAGTCCGCCTCCGGCACCATGCCCAGCGCGACTCCCCTACCCCACCCACTTGGCCCCTACAGGGCCGCTATCATCCCCGCACCCGACTCTGGCCCAACTCCGAGTCCAGCGCCACTATGATACCATCGCCGCTATCGCGGCCCTACGCTCTTTCCTTTATTTATCTGTTATTGTTTGTTTTGACCCTCGGTCATTGCCGGCCGCTATGCGGCCAACCCCACTCCTTACCCTTGTTTGCTTCCGGACCCTTCGGCCTTCGGCCCGGGTCCGCTTCTATTCATTTCTTCCTCCTATATATATCCTGTATACTACATTATAGTACTTTAGCTCTAATATCGATGTGACCACGACCCCTAAGTCCTGACCCCAACAAGGCAACCCCAGTAAGTCCGAAATGAGGGCCAAGAGACAACTAGGGGGCACAGCGCTCCTTTAGAGTCGCTGAGGCCAAATGCCCTACCCTCGGGCCTTGTCTAAGGCATCGCAGCCATCGCGGCCTATAGCGGCCCGCATCGGCGACCTTCGGTGCCGACCCCGGACCAGTGTCTAACACTCGAGAAAGTGATCAGGTTTGTTACAATCCTTGTTCACCCACTTCTCTTTCAAATGGGAAGGTATCTGCACTGGTGACGAGGTGGATTCCTGTTAGACACTGGTCCAGGGTCGGCACCGAGGGTCACCGTTGCGGGCCGCTATAGGCCGTGATGGCTGTGATGCCGTGAACAAGGCCCGAGGGTAGGGCATTCGGCCTCAGCAACTCTAAAGGGAGTGCTGTGCCCCCTAGCTGTCTCTTGGCCCTCATTTCAGACTCACTGGGGTTGCCTTGCTGGGGTCAGGACTTAGGGGTTGTGGTCACATCGATATTAGAGCTAAAGTACTATAATGTAGTATACAGGATATATATAGGAGGAAGAAATGAATGGAAGCGGATCCGGGCCGAAGGGTCCGGAAGCAAACAAGGATAAGGAGCGGGGTTGGCCGCATAGTGGCCGGCAATGACCGAGGGTCAAAACAAACAATAACAGATAAATAAAGGAAAGAGCATAGGGCCGCGATAGCGGCGATGGTATCGTAGTGGTGCTGGACTCGGAGTTGGGCCAGAGTCGGGCACGGGGATGATAGCGGCCCTGTAGGGGCCAAGTGGGCGGGGTAGGGGAGTCACACTGGGCACGGTGCCAGAGGCGGACTCAGGGTGGGGAGGTTGGTGCAGCAGCGGGGGAGTCGGCCAAGTGTAGGGGAGCCTAGGGGCAAGTGGGGAAGTGAGCAGGGAGTCCTCAGGGAGGATAGGGCTGAGGTTGGGGCTCGCGCTCATGCTCGCATAGCGGTAACGGGCTCGGGCAGCATCGGGACAGGTGGCTAACAGGCCGGAATGCATGGCCGTGACAATTCCTCACTTTCCGGGTCAGGGTATATAGTGGCCATCCATATTCCAGGGTCCCCTGAACCTGGGACGTGGACAAACTTGGGTAGGCCATTGTCATCATGCAGATTCTGAGTCATCATGACCATGGGAAAAGTCCCTTGGTCACGCAACATCTGTTTAGATGCCCTAGTTGGATCTAGGGTTCATCTGGGCACAGTTGATACAGGCTCCGAAGGTCCTTCAGGAACCTTCAGAGTCTCTTCCAATTTGTCAGGTTCAATGGGTTGGGGGCTTCTTCGGGGCAAAGCTCCTGACATCCCTCGAGCACGTCTAACCTTTCCAAAATGGTGTTGAATTGACTTTCGAGCCCCTTTTCAAAACTCACAAACATCTGGATGCATTCCCTCCATGGCACATCTTCTCGTGGTGCAACAATGGAGAGCAGTAGGTCTCCCTTCATCATTGCTTTGTCAACAGGGGGATTATTAGTCCCTGTCGGCTCACCACTCATGGTTGGAAGTAGGGGCACAGGTGCTGAAGGGCCTGTGCCTCTCGCCGCTGACTGAGTCTCTGTGTCAATCGGCGTGTTGTCCAGATCGGCAGCGATCGCAGCTGGGGCTTCTGTATCAGCCACCACTCCCAACAAGTCTAGCTTGTCTGGAGGTGCATTAGGGCTCCCAATCAGATCGGGGTCAATTGGTGCGGCATCAGCCTCACCAACGTCTACAATGGGATCGAGTTCTCGTGCAGATTTCTGTGCAGTCTTCATCTTCTTTCAATAAGAAGACAATCCAGCTGCCCCTCAAGAACTCATCAGGGAAGAGGGTCTGGGTGAAGATTAGATCAACATGCTTTGCAATGTTGATCAAATCAGGAACAAGCGCAGGGTTAACTGGATTAACTTACCAAGCGCAAAAAAGTGTAAGTGTGTGGTTATAAGCGCCTCACACTCCCGGTCCATCACACAAATACGCTTTAATGAGCTATATTGTTAATGGGGGAGTAAAGGCTGAGGAGCCTTTCCTCCTACCCACGCATCTTATATATGTGTATTTACATGATGTGTTATAGATATAGGCTAGAATCTTATGGTCCATGGTTGCAAGCAGATGGACCCAGGACCTTCCCCATTTTACTTCTCCATCAAACCCCATGCCAAGCTTTCCCACTGGGTTTTGGTGCTGGCTGGGGGATTTGTTGAGTTTCAAGGGACTTCCCTTGACCATTATGACTTTTATATTAGACAGTTAGAAGTCATATGATGTGTAAGGCAGATGCCGAAAAATGTTTTCTCATTATCGAATACATAACCCACAAACCTTGTACCGCAAATTGTAACATCCTCACCATTGTGTCACCACTGTAAACTCAACCTGTAACCCTGGAACCATGTCCACCTCCCTATTCCTCCTCTCCATGACAAAACCGCAGCGAGGAGGGCATTCCCGCGCCCAACCTCCTGCTGCCCACTCCCACCAGTCCACTGGGTGGTTGAGTGGTTACTCCCATCCAACCAGAAGTTCCCTATCAGGAACTGTAGCCTATCCCACCTCCTCAGGAGAAGGATACAGTCCAGGCAGCTCCAGGATGCCTGGCCACGCACCCGCAGGTCCCACTTCCCACGGTCACCCACTACCATGCACTGGTCCACCAGCCCGCTTTCCCCAACAACTCCTGCTACCGGTACGCTCCCATGAGTGCCAAGTCACTGATAGCCACCATCTGGGTGACTCCCTTTGGGAGTCCCAGTATCCCTCACTACCGGTACGCTCCATTGAGCGCCAAGTCACCACTAGCCAAACACTCCCAGCACACCTGTTACCGGCATGCTCCCAGGAGCGCCAAGTCCCCGTTAGCAGACAGCCAGGTGGCTCCCTCAAGGAGCCCACACCATACTCGCTACTGGTACGCTCCCAGGAGCGCCAAGTTACCATTGGCCGACACACAGGTTGTACTTCCATACACTCATCCTACTCCGCTCTCCCTCCGATGGCTACACAGCCACCTCCATTAGTGAGCTGAACGGCTCAGGTTGGGTTCCCCGGAACCCATTCCTGTAACATGATGTAATGCGGCTTAATATTATACAGGTTGTTTATGTTACTGAAGCGTGACTGCAGTCATGCTTGATGTGAAGTATGGAAAGGACAGACAATGTGTGGGTACACATTGCAAGTCCTTACAGTCAGACTCAGACAAGAGTCCTTGTTGGAGGGCAGCGCATATAGTGCCTTTAGGCACTAGTGCGACCCTTCCAGACATTGCTGGAAGGTTTGGGCTGACCAAATTACTTGGTTAGGCCATGTGACTTGTGAGAACAAGTCACGCTTCTCTTTCTTATTTTGGCTATTTCGGACTTATCCATGATGGCCACATACTATATTCAAACATTTGAATTAGTTTCATTTTCCCTCAGTTCTCATGCATTACTTATTGCTTCAGTTACTTGCTCTTTATTTCTACTCATTGTATATTTAGATTATCCAACAATTATTCCATTAGTTCTGAGGGGAAGGTCTGTGTTAGACACTGGTCCAGGGTCAGCACCGAGGGTCGCCGTTGCAGGCCGCTATAGGCCGCGATGGCCGTGATGCCACAAACAAGGCCCAGGGGTAGGGCATTTGGCCTCAGCAACTCTAAAGGGAGTGCTGTGCCCCCTAGCTGTCTCTTGGCCCTCATTTCGGACTCACTGGGGTTGCCTTGTTGGGGTCAGGACTTAAGAGGTCATGGTCAAATCGATATTAGAGCTAAGGTACAATAAAGTAACATAGAGTATATATATATGGAGAAGGAATGAATGGAAACGGACCTGGGCCGAAGGCCGAAGGGTCTGGAAGCAAAAGGGGACAAAGAGCGGGGTTGGCTGCACAGTGGCTGGCAATGACCGAAGGTCAAAACAAACAATAACAGATAAATAAAGGAAGGAGCATAGGGCCACGATAGCGGTGATGGTATCGTAGCAGCGCTGGACTCGGAGTTGGGCCGGAGTCGGGCACGGGAATGGTAGCGGCCCTGTAGGGGCCAAGTGGGCAGGGTAGAGGAGTCGCACTGGGCACAGTGCCGGAGGCGGACTTGGGGCAGGAAGGTTGGTGTGGCTGTGGGGGAGTCGGCCAGGTGCAGGGGAGCCTTGGGCAAGCAGGGGAGTGTGCAGGGAGTCTGTCATATCCATGCATACCCGACCCCGACCTGACTTCTGGACCTCCACCCTCTTCACCTCCGGAGTCATAACCTACCGCTGCCATTCCGATACTCACCTTCAGTCTTGGCAACACACCTCCTCCTTACCCCCCATGCCACCTCTACTCCTCCTCCTCCTACTCCACTCCCCCTCTGCAACGCCTCCACCCTCCCATAATCCTCCTACGCTTCCCCCGTCCGCTCCGATACTCACCTTCGGACCTGACAACCCTCCTCTCCGCCACTCATTCCCCCTTACCTTTCCCCTCTCTCCTCCCTCTGGTACTCCTCCGCCACCCTTCCGCCAAGTTACGACCTTCCGCTGCTGTCCTGTACTTCCTACTCGGATGCTGATCGTATCTTCGCTCCGAGCCTCCGTCATAGTCCCGACCTCGGACTTTGACTCCACCTCGGTCTTAGTCCATTGCATTGGTGACCTCATACTACGTAAACATCATTGCCAATATCCCTCGGACTTTCAACCCCGCTTCCGTAACCCCCGTAAGCTCCACAACCCCCGAGCTTCGCGGATTGCCTTCGGCACTTTCGCCACTTGTAATGTATCTCTCACATTTACCCCTCATCCCTATTTGGACTACTGCTTCTTCCCATTCTAGCCAGTAGTCATCATCCCCACTTCTCCTCATCCTCCTGCCCCTCTGGGCCTTGCCCTCCCTACCTCCTTTCGGACGTATCACAGGTCCTTCCTTATGACCTTTCGGTACCGCTCCGCTCCTTCTTCCCTTTGTCCCCGTTCAGACATCTTTGTTCCGATTCGGTTCCCCTTTGTTTCCTTGTGCTTTTGCCCCTTCCATTATATATATCGGCACTTGTACATACTTGTGGGTTCAGTCTGAAATCAACCTGAAATGCCCCCTAGAGACTTCCTGCTCACCTACTGTGAAATTAAGGACCAAATGGACAAACAGCAATGGCACAGCGCTCCGCTTGAGTCGCTGAGGCCAAGGTCCCTCCACGCTAAGTCTCCGATTCCACTCCGGAGTCGTCTGAATCCGCCAATCTCTAACAGAGTCCTCAGGGAGGATAGGGCTGAGGTCAGGGCTTGCACTCATGCTCGTGTAGTGGGAATGGGCTCAGGTGGCATCAGGATGGGCGGCTAATGGGCCAGAATGCATGGCCATGACAGTCTGCTGTAAATGCGATGTTCCAAATATGGCACTTCAGCAGCTCACTTGCAGTCCAGAATGTACTTTTCTCAATAATTTACTAGTCCCAAATTATAGCTATTCAAATGGGCTATTCATCGATGTAAAGTGTGTGGGAAACAGTCCTGACACCCCTTTAGACAGTGGTCAGCATGAGCACAGACATTGAGTTATCCCAAAGACTCACATCTGAAAAAGTATTTTGCATTTTTCTCAATAATTTACTTGTCAATTTAGTCCCAAATTATATATTTTGGAAGCTATTCAGATGGGCTATCCATTGGTGTAAAGTGCATGGACACTGTAGGAAACAGTCCTGACACCCCTCTGGACAGTGTGGCCAGCATTGTGCATGGACAGTGAGTTGGACAGCCAATTTCGCATAATTTATTGGTCAATTATATTCTGGAAGCTATTCAATGGGGCTATCCAGCTATGTAAAGTGTGGCTAGACCATGGGAAACAGTCTTGACACCCCTCTGGACAGCAGCCAGCAATGTGCACAGATAATGAGTCAGGAGCAATATAATAATAGTTCAGATGACTCCACTACAATAGAATTATAGGCACTTCATTGGGGTACTTGATCATTGAATAGACATTCATATAAAACCCAAGGGTCTACCTCATATGCCTGGGCTCGCTGGCTGAGTGGTAGGATTGTGCTGTGTTACTATAGACTGTATTGCCATTTCAATATAATAGGTATGTGTAATAGGTATTCATACCCCCTAGTATGTAGGGTTGTCTGTTCGAATCCCTGAAGGAGTAGAATATCTACATTTCTTTTGGGCTATTGCCCTGTGGTCATGTTGCAATGCATTTACAGCAAGGTGCAAAAAAATCGACGCGCCCAATTTGGATGAATGTCCGTGCAGGTCATGTGATAATCATGTGATTATCCACAAATGGCAGAAAATAAATGATGATCGACTTGCAGTTTCCTAAATAGGATCGATCACATGACCTGATCGACCATTCATCCAAATCTGTTGCGCCGTTTGTTTTGCACCTTGCTGTAAACTCAATGATCCTGTTGCAATGCTGGGTGGCTGTTGCAACATCAAGTAATCAATGCAAGACTTGCATTGCCACCGATCCGTTTTGGCCGTTGTATTGTGTTGCATTGAGTTATAATGTATTGATACAGATTTGTATTTTTTCCGACAATTATGAGGTACTCTTTCCCTTCAACCAAAAAATTCTGTATGTCATTCGTCATTGGTGTCTCAGTATGGGGTGTGGAGAATGATATCTTTTGCAGTTTTGCAGAGTTTCTTGCTTTGTTTCCCTCCTCTCTACTCCCTTATTTTTGTCTTCCATGTACCAATGAAAATGTTTTCAGAGCTGTGCAGGGGACACGTGCAACGCATGCACTCTAGTCCTTCTGACTATCGCGAGATAACTCGCAAACTCAACTTATAACCCACTTACAACAACACTCAACGTCATTGCCATTTAACTTATTCTAGGGTGGCAACTATCACCATCATTGCCAAGGGTGGGGACCCAGCGTTGAGCTGTTCATCCAAATAAGGAAACCCCTTTTGTGAGGCCACGATCTTGCCAACTTCTTTAGGCAGATGATTGACCTGCCCCACTTACCCGTTCGAATTGCAACCGGCAGATTTTTCTGTCTCCTGCTGTAGTGTAACAAAAGCCTCGCAAGCTCGGCCAATCAACCATGCTTTCCCCAATCGAACCTATTTAGCAAGTAAAACACCGCGATTTAGAAAAAGCTGCATGGGTGATATCTTCCTCCCATTGTGAAGTCTATATCAGGGGTATTTAGAATTAAGTGGAGCGAAAATTTGCAGGGGTCCGCTACGGAAGAGCCAAAGAACACGGGTCGCGGTCTCTCGTCACAAGCCGGCCTCTAGCTTCTCGAAGCCGGATTATTCATCAAGGTGTTCAGTTGGGCCTTATAGAATCACTCGACATGCACCCTCAGCATTATATATAGCTGTATCGGTATTATCGCACCTTTGTTTGCACGCCGCCATCCTCAGAAATTCTTCATCATCGACTCTTCATCGTTCAAAATTCCGTTCTTTCAGAAACTACGTTCATCGATGCGCAAGCACCTAGGAGGGAAAGGTGCGAATGACGGTGCGAGCAGCGGCGCAAGCAGCACGAGCGTCAAGCCAGTCGTTGCGCTAGTTGGTGAGGCCCTCATCCCCGCGGACCATAGTCCTTGTTGAGATGAGCTTGCAATGTATGTGACATCGCTTGCTAGGTTCGACTGGGTACCTCGGGAAATCCATAGTTCCAGTTTTCGCCAAGGCCGCTAACGAGGGTCAGTTCGCCGCGTTCAAGATCCTGACGAGCTCGACCCCAAAGGACGAACTCAAGTCTGCTGCATCGGATAAAGTGACCATCGTACAAGTTGATTATGCATCTCCTGCATCGTTGGAGAGTGCATTAGAGGGTGTCGATGTCCTTGTAAGCGCCTTGGGGGCAAGCAAATCAACGGAGGCCGCTCAAAAGAGTTTGGTTCAAGCAGGTAAGTTTCGATCAATCCCTCTCATCATTTCATGGAAACACTATAGTTTGTTCACCTCACTCGTCACACGTGTCTCACCCAGCCGCCGCGGCCAAAGTAAAGGTGTACTTCCCATCAGAATGGGGCACCGACTTGGATGTCAGCCCATACCCCTTCCCGCCTCTCGACGCAAAGACTGAACATGTCGAAGAAGCCAGAAAAGCCGGGCTTAAAACAGTCGTCTTCGTCGTCGGGGTGTTCTCCGATATAATCCTCTTGCCTATCTCTGGTACGTATGAGCCAACATTTGCCAGAGGATCGAAGGACTAAATGTGGCTCACGCCTACGATCAGGATGGTTCACTGCGCCGAACACGGTGCACATACCCGATTCCGGCAAGAATAAGGCTGTCTTCACTGCCAAAAAGCACATTGTGCAGTATGCACTCCAAGCCGTCATTCTCGCTGCTCAGGACCCGGCGAAGTTCCCAGATAAGGTTCGCGTTTGGGACGATAATAGGTACGATGAACGGTGCTCATTTGGTAGATGAATAACATTTCCCAACACCCTGTTGGCTTTTCCTTTAGATCCTGGGATGAATACACCGCAGAGCTCGAGCAAGTCCTGGGAAGAGAACTCATCAAGAACGTCATTCCTAAAGAACAACTTGTGCAAGATTTCGCCGCCGGACCCTCCATCGGCGGCCTTGGAAGGTTACTCGCTGCCGATGGCCTTACCGATTATTCGGACAACCATAACGAATTGTTGAACCCTGGCGAGAAGTATTTCAAACGTCAGACTGTTGGGGAGACTTTGAAGGAGGTACGTTATGATGCGATAACGTATGACGTTGTGAGTGGTGACTGATGATTGCATAGGTGGGATTCAAGCTATGATGATATCGAGCAATATTGTAAGACTGCAGAGAGATGGCATGACCATACTCTTTTTCTTTTGGCCTTTCTCGGCGCCAATGTATGTGTAGAGACCATGTCGTGAACGTGCGCCCGGAAGATGTGTTCCGGCCTATTTGAAGTGGTGGCTAACTTTAGCAGGGTCATCTGAGGATGTAATCCCAAAGGATGAATTTTCACGGTCAAAACGGATTAAGTCGCGAAGACCAAGAAGACCGCGTGCGAATTGCATCAACTATATTGATTTGTACGGCTCCAGGGACCGACAACAAAAAGAACGATAGTGTCACGCGAGATCACCTGTACGTATAAGGTGGGCATTCCCTTACTGGTGGCCTGCCGGTCACCCGTTGTACCTCTTGAGGCGATGTTGGGTCATTGGCGATTGGAGTGACAATATCATCAAGGGTAGAATCTTCCCCCCATCTATTCTCGATCCCATTGTCTCGATCGCCAGTCATTCCAGCTTTTCCTCGTTCGTGTGTAACAGCCGATGACTCATCAACGGAGCCCTGCCTACGTAGTACCTACCGATCGCAGATGGGCAAGGTGGATATCAAGCTTGCCCATAGCAAAGCAACACGATCAACAAGTAACATTCCTCGGAACGTCACCACCCACAGGCCGCAGTGCCCCGGACCCCACCATGTTCGCACAACCAATACCGACCCTTTACAATAATGCTAGGAACTTCAAAGTCCCTAAGGACCGCGTGACAACACGAATCCGGATCTGGTCTGCATCTTCACCACCGATCACTCAAGTTAGTCATTAACAGCTTACTCTGTATTTCAACTGGTATACATCTGTTGGGCCATCCCCGAGGATGCATCCGTAGTTTGAGAAACGATTGCTGGAGTCGATCGGAGGTTACCACCAGCACGACTCGAACGAATAAAGGCGACCTACCTAGACAATCCGTCCATTTCATCATTAGTGCCACCAAGACGCAAAGGGCCTATTCCTCAACTTCATTATGAAGCCACATCTTAGTAGGTAACATAACCAAGGTAGTACAACGTTGGCCCAACCATTCTTCCACATACGTCCAGTTCCACAGATCGATCATAAATCTACAGTATATAGTGTAGCTGGCAATACTCTACAAGCTCAGAAGCTCTGCTCTTGCTCCAAAAAATGTTGCCACAAAGCGAGACCTATCCCAGCACGTTCTGACGGGATGTAACATGTCAGCACATGTCAGCATTCAATTACTGGAGGAACATATTTGCACCTCGAGACGGAAGGAGTGGAGAGACAAGACAAAGGAAGACGACATGGTAAGAGATGCGACGAAGTTCGTCCAGCTAGTGTCATGGAAAGGTGGTACAAGGGTTCCACAGGCAGCCAGGCCCTCGTGATGGAACAAATGATTGAATCACCTTTGCCGTCACACCTCACAGTCCAAACCACATGCGGTTAGCATCTCGGAAAGCCCAGAATCCCCTGCTTCCAGTGGGAACACAGAAAAACGACAACGGTCCAGAGATTACCAAGACAAGCGAACAAGCGATACAGAGCACAGATTTGGGCTAGATCATGATCAGACCGGGGCAGAATGATCCTCGGAAAGGCAGCCTACGCTTCCCTCACCGTCGAGACGCGAGCCAGGCCTGCACCTGTTAGAGTGTCATGTTGTTTGGTTCGAGTCTCGAACCAAATAAATCGCGCTGCTTGCTCCTTATCCCACAAGCGCGAGCGCTTCAGTTTCCATTTGGTCCCTGATTGCCAGCAACATGTTGCGACTATGCGTGGTTGAAGCGCCCGATATTGTCCCACTATCTGGATAACACCTTTGCCACGAGGGAGTCACATCCTTCGCTTTATTCCAATCTCCCACGTTTACGCAACGCTACGCATCATACGATACCCATGTGCTCGGCGTTGCATGCATGGGATGCCGTGTCCAGCGCGTTTATCCATGGCGAACGGAGCCAGATGGGCCGTTGGACTATATTTAATCCGTGCCCGTCTTGCGATCAACAACGGCGGTGCACTACTTTGCATAATTCGAGTTTGCTAATGGTTCACCGGCGAATTCTACATTGTGGCGCTAGTGATACGAAAGCACCGCTCGATAGGAACGGCCAGATCGCGCATCAAATTTAACTGATCGTTGAGATTTTTAGTTCCTCTTACGCACTTCATGCCAATAAATCGCGGCTTGACCCGGCGCCGAGTGACATCAATGTCCATTACCCACACAGCTATTATATTCCTAACAAACATATACACGCACCACACACGGGTATCAGCGTGTACCCCAAGGGCATGGTCATTCACATACTTTAATCCAAATCAAGAATAAGATAAAGCTTCACCCTGACCCCGCCGCTCACACTCACACACCCGGGCCTCGCGTGTCCGTAGTTACAGTGGTGTGTACAATTAATGAAATCCCGATCATTAAGGCGTCAAAAGAATGGGTGATCATTACACATAGTACCCCAAAACTCATTATCAACCTTTGAATGATCGGGTATTTGCCAAGATATCTGTGCCACTAACGCCGACCATCGCTAGAAAGTTATCACTGCACCCAACGACTATCAAATAGCCATCTTTCTATGGCCCTATCGCGATCATCCCGAGTTATCTTGCGCCGGGCAATCCTACGCCACGTGAATCTGACGACAGGAACGTGCGCTTTGGACTGGGGACGTTTCCCGATCAAACGTACGAAAATCTGAAACCAAAGCATATTATATACTCAGCTAGGGACGATGCTCGATTCGTCGTGGGGGGACGTGTGGATTCATGGCCGCCACCCTAACTCCAATGCTTGACCTAGGCTACCCACTTCCGAAAATATATAACGGAATAGCTACAATCCAACAGGAGCAATCATGCGCACCGTTCTTCTTGATTCTGGCTTCAAGCCCATACAGCAATCACAGCATATGTCCGGACGGTCGTTGTTTAGGCAACTAGGCATTATGCCATGCCGCCTGCATGCTTTCACTCCCCGGTGATCGTTTAATGTTGATATCTGCGTGCGGCCTAGGTGGCGGAGTGATTATTCCTCCGCGGTCGAATGTGCCAACGTAACAGTGCAACTATCCCTACTGTAACATACAAAAAAGTTTCGCGTATCGGAGTTCCAAAGAAAACTGCCCCTATAAAATCCAAGCAATCACAGATAGGACTTCTGCTGCAACCGCTCCCAGTGGTCATTGATAAGGCGACGTCCATCATCTGCTGGACTGCACTTGCTAGGTTAGCGCCTTCCATGTCCGAAGTATGATATGAAAAGTTAGGCTGCATATACCCACTACCAGCCAACATAATGCGCAAATAAAGATATATCCGACTTATCGGAAATAAGAAAGACCAAACACATCCTTTCTTGCGGTGTGTCACAAGAAGATCGCGCCACGTTGATTCACCAAAGCTGGCACAATTTGCATCTAACATTTTCAATTGCAAGTTCAAAACATATCTAGCTGTCTAGCTGCTTGCGAGAGACTCAAACGCAAATTCAGAACTGTACAAGCCCCAAAATGGATGACGGAAATGAAGGGCGTGATGATTCCCACATATGCAACAGAAAATACAAGACCTAAAACCACGGACATTGACTTTGCCCTTGTCGAAAGTTGCTTCATTGCCTTATGACTGCAAGAGGAAGGAATAAAAGATGGCCACTAAATGAAATTGAAGATAGCTGCACAAATTAACGCCGCGCACCCATCATTGATTATTCTCCGCACTTGTCCACATGATGTTACCATTCCATCAGTACTAACTGGTTTGGTCATTTCCTCAGAGGAATTTGTCCGATACTCGCATCATGACTTTTTTTTTACAGCGCTTCTGCCCAAAAAAATAATAAGGTGCCTTGATCAGGCAGACGTAAATCAGTGCAACATCAGTGCATTGGCCCCTGTGCTACGTACTTCCCCCCTCAGCCATCACTACCTAGCACAGGGAAACCATCAGCAAGCATGTAATGCTTCGATATTCTGTGCTGAGGACGTTTCATACATCCAAACGGAGCCACGATCAAAACACAGATCAGAAAGGACGACAAATGAAATCAGTAAAATGTTTTCCTTACAGAGCTAAGCTTGATATGCGAACGGTACTATGAACGGCTAACCCTTGCGGCGTCCGCCTTCTACTGCGCGACCGGCCACAGACTGATCAGGTATAGATTATTAATTGCACTGCCAAATGGTAATTCACATTATACTGACCCAGCGCCATCCCCCACCACGGGCAAAGCGCACAAGCCGGAGAGTCTAGGCTGAAATCCGTTTCCGATTTTTTTTGGAGGACCAAAAAAGAGACCGTGCTGTTTTCAATGCGCGCTTCTTGTAACTTGCTGACTCAGTTCAAGTCGAGCTAGCAAATTGGGTGACTCTTCAACGCGTCTAAACAAGTTTCATTTGCCACGGAGGGAAATGACAAAGCGGCATTAAGCGCCCATGTTATCATGGACATTAAATTGGTGTTTCCCCCCGAATGCTAAGCGGCGGGATATGATCATATCAGCGTCGGAGAAAGGCTCCGGCCATTGTTCGATGATTTTATCGAGGGCTACACACAGAGCGACTACGGCCATGACCCTCTCTGGTTTTCCTACAATGGCAATTGCATACACTAAGTACTAATTTTGCCGCGGTGCGAATGTGTGTGTGACTTACTGCCAAAATAGGCATGGGTGGCCAGCGATTCGGGTATGCCATAAGTGGTCATTGGAGGCCTGCAAATGACGCCACTGATACGGAACCCCATCCAAGACCCTAAGTCAGAACGGGCCCGGATTACCGGTATACCATGTTAGAATTTCTCGGGAATTACTTGTACTGGCCACGAACAACCATGTGATTGGCAGTCTCCGGCAACTCCCGGAGGCCGGTTGCGCGATTGTTGTTGCACGGACGTTTTCACTGTAGATTTCTTTCTTGGAGTCTACCTTGATGGACGCAGTCATGGATGGCTTAAAAGCTACTTCACTCTCCTCTCTCCTCAGTTGAACTGAGCGCTGATATGCCCCTGGTTTATTCTAAAATACCGTTCCTATGACCCACACTCGATTACCATCAATTAACCGCCATAACATGACATACGCACCTGATCTGCCAAGATCCCCATGTCAAAGATTACATACCTGCTCCGTACATCCAAAAAAATCGATAATATGACGAGCGCCGGGCACCAGCCACTGATCGAGCGACCTGGAAGCAGCGTAAGATGCATGTTGTCGTGCCGGGTCGGGAACAGTGCTTCAAAAACTTACAGCTAGTTTACGAATTCGATTCAATCCACCCCCGAGGCAGACCCTTACCGCTGTACATATTGGAATCGGACGCAACGTCGCCCCCAGCTTGCTCGGGCAAGTGACTGTCCAAGGTATGGGCGGGGATAATCATGATAATGGCTAACAAAAGCCGACTGCCGACGGCACCGCCGGCGACCCGGAGGATGGTTTGTCATCATATTATATCATACAACGATAAGCCATGTGCGGCTGTGCGGACGACGTTGTCATAGTAATGTTCATCACTGGTTCGCGCGCAACTTCGATTGAATAAATTCTATTGAGTAGTACTGTGAGCAAAGAAGTCGCCGTGCGAGATAATAAGATTGTGCATGTGGAGGTTGGATGTAGAATGAGATGGAAGTTGTTAGACTGACCATCCGATGGTTGGACGTGCGCGCGGAGCCGAGGTGTCAAGCGAGAGGTTGGAGAATAATGTGCAAAACAGGTTGGGTTATACCACCTGAGAAGTTCTGAACTTGAAGTTACAGACCCAAGGGCGGGCAGGCGGAACGGAAATGGGTGAGTGTCAATGAATGAATGCAAGCGAAGCGATATCACGGAGCCGAGGCCGGGGCCCCCGAGGTGAAACATGAAGTGTCAAACTATCAACCTAGCTATTCGAACAATGAAAATTCAACACGGAATCTTAACCAAATATTTTATCTACTCTTGTGCCTTAGATACACTCATTCCTAGCCCTGTGAGTACTAGTTCTGTCTGACAATATCGCTGGATCGGCTTTCAAAAGAAGGGTGTATTAGGCCACTCAATTCAAGTCTTACGACCATCGTCCATCACGCAGGTTAGTAATGTGTGCCGCAACAAAGCGCAGCTAGTAAGGGCGGGTATGTGCTTGTAGCTTCTCGGCTGGTCATCAAATGGACGCGATTGCTCCCATGCATGCGTCAGCGAATACTACAGTTTGCAAGCGAAGAATTCCAGGGACTCATGTTCAACCCAGAAATACCCCAAACTTCTTCCCATCCCAAAAACAAACAAACAAATCTCGAACAAAACCCTCTATCGTACCAGCGTATATCACGACTCAAATTTATACCAGTGTCCCCGGGCCCAACGCCCACATCAAAGGACATGTACGTCTTCTTACCAATGATCCGAATTATATGCATTTCCATGTTAGTAGTGGGTACCGTGTGCGTCTCCGGTCCTCATCCTCCGTCCTCCATTCCCCCCCCCCTCTTCGCCGGTTTTAATTCCCGAATCGGGGAAAGATTTGGAGGAAAAGCTTTCGGCAGCAACGATCCGTACACGCCCGTCAGCAACTCCACCGCCCGGACGAACGGAAGGGAAATAAAACAGCGAGTGTTCTAATGGATTCCCTCACTGGCACACGTAGAACGCGGGGGGGGGGGACATAGTATATTGAGATTGAGAAACAGTTTCTCAATGTCATGTCATGCGTTTGTTCCTGCGCGTCAGGGGACTGCTATAAGGCTAACCGTCGCGGGTTATAGAGGTCCATTCGAGTGTCGAGGGGAAACTTTTTCATGGGGGCTTGTACAGACCTGCTTATCTAGTAGTAAGCATCCCCAGCTGCAAAGGAGGGCACGTTTGTAGAATGGGACAATGCCATGGACATGGCCCGGGGGACATGGGGATTTCCCTTACCTTTTTTTTCTTGTTGTTGATAGAAATCATATATTTTACTAAGTACTCACTTACTATGGTATAAAGCCGTCGCGGAGCAGTGATGCCTAGTAGCACACTGGCACGCGAATTCCATGTGTTAATCGCTAGTGCTGGCACACGCGAGTAGTGAGTACTGTAGGTCAAGAACGGATCGCGCCCCCCGCGCCGGGAAAAGATAAGATGATTTGCAAATGAAGTTCGGATCCAAAGTAGATGAGCGAATTACCAGAGGAACAGTGTTCCTCCCGGAGTTGTTGTTGAGTGAGTGAGTGACCGTTCGAAGGGTCGTTCATGAATTAACTGAACTGGTAGTAAAAAGGCCTCTAAGGCTGCAAGGAGAAACAGGGGGGGGAGTGGTGGGATTTCGGGTAACGACGCGAAAGGAAGAGCGGCCAGGGACCGAAGTGTGAACAAGCAAGTATGTGCTATAATGTGCTTCGATCCAGAATGCATCTTCAAGTAATACTAGAATAGGAAAGCTGTTTTTTGATAGGCGCCCATGCAGGCACCGTGGTGCGGGACTCCCGCCCCATGGAAGAAAACGTTAATTAGCACATAATGTTGAATGTTGATCATACATGTATGTATCTTGCTCGCCAAGTCATATGGGGGGGCTGGAGCCCAGGAGAAATTTCCAGTTTGAAAATATCGTGATATCTGCACTGCACTATGTAGTAGTGTTATTATGTGCAATAAGAGTACTTTCATGCCATACGCATGTGAATACATGCACAGCATATGGTATGGACGCGGTAAGAATGGGCTTGGCGGGGCAACGGTATGATATAATATAACACACATTGGTATGACAAATCGTCTTGCTGCAACCTGCGCCTCCCGCGCGGGGGGAGAACTCGTTGGGAATCTAAAACATAGTCTGCATGCGATCAGGTTTGTTCCCAAAATTTTGAACAGTACATAAAAAAAAAAAATCGCGTACATAATTATGGGGTGGTTGTTGAACTAGGCGAACAAGCCTAGGCGAAAGAATCTCAGGGTCATTTACAGCGGGAAAAGGGAGATGGATGGGCGTCTCAGCCAGTGGAAGCTGTCGCCCGGAGTAATCACTTAGTATGTCGGCAATTGGGGGTTAATGAATTATATTATTGTATGCTGCGATACAGTATATCAATAGGACTATTGTATAGACAGGCTAGATCCCAGTTGTGTGGATGGGGTAGTGCCCGAGCAGTGATCCGGGTCAGCCAGCGGAATCGAGTATGGCGTGTTTACTAGAGCGCTCGGTTGATGTGGAGGGATATACAGAAGCGTGTGATGAGTGTGATGGGAGGAGTTGTGATGATCAGCGCGAAGCCACGGAAATCGAAGCTAGTTTGGTCGTTTGGTGGGAAAAGGGGAGAAGATGAATCATCTAAAGTCTAGGACACTAGAATATGGAATGAAACAAGATGGTTTCCATAGTCATGGGCAAGCGAGCGAGCGGTACAGCAAAGCGTCACCCGAAGTTTGAGCCTGGGAATGGAAATACCGCCAGAATTGATATTTCATTACGGATTATATTGAAAGCTTCCCGGGGAGGAACATGAGCGGTGGATCTTGGTAAGCCGTAGTGCCTCCGGGTGATGAGTCAGAGTCGCTTTGGAGGGAATGATCGTTAAGTTTTGCTGGACCTGTGCAAAAAGTGTATCATAGCGGATTCAAGCCGGAGGACGATCGATTGGGAGAGTTCAACAGCACCGGATGACGCAAAAGTGTATAGAAAGATAAGCGAAGAGAAGCGAAGAAGAAATAACCCAGTTTGGATTTGGGCTACCCGATATGTAGAAGGACCTAGCACAGTGTGACTGGTTGAGCCTGAGTATCACTCAATATTGCAGCATTTGGGCTACGGAGCACAAAACGCGACTTCAACGTTATCGAAAGGCTGTGTCCAACTTATGGAACTTGGATTACGCGCGTAAACACGCTGAGTAAGCTAATGTTGTTGAAGCGGGTCGTGGCTGTGTATCCCTTCGCTGTATTCAATGCGATAACGTAGGGCAGGTGACCAGGATTTCAGGATCGACATTCAGTCCGGAGGACATGGCCCGAAAGTTAAGCGCGAAAGGGAGAAGAATTTCAGAGTCGTAGAAGCATGTGTGTACTTTTCGGAAGTGACTCGATGGAGATCAGTTTCAACTTTCATTTCTTTTTTGGGTCGTTTTCCGTTTTGTTTTGTTGTTGTGCATGCGTGCGCGGGCGGCGGGCGGGCGAGGCTGGCGCAGTTGCAAATGATGGGGGTGTATTCCGAGTGAGTGGATGGACACAATGAAAACGGTGGGGAATTTAACGAGAAAAGTGAACACGATATTGTTAGCGGGAGCCAGGGAAGTGACTGAATGGGCTAAGGGCAGAAGTGAAGGCCGACGGCAGCTACTTAGTGACCTCTCTGCTAGCTCTAAGAATTCGGGCAGGTGTGTGTATAGGGAGATTTACAGTTATCGTACCCTGTAGATCGAAGAGAGCACATTGCGGGAATGTGCGCAGAATCCAGACTTTTCCTTTATGGAAATGCCGCGGAAGCTGGATTTTATTTGCTAAGAGCTGGATGTTAGGAAAGGGAGGGAAGAGCGGGCGGTCATTGGGTGCCGGGAAGAGTGTGAAGCCCTAAACGGTCGAGTGCGGTAGTTGTCCCACGTGTGACAGTGAGCGCTCAATCGCCACGTTATACGGCTCCATGATCAATTGTGTGCGCGTGGAATGGAATGTGAGAATGGGGACCCACTTTGGACATTTGCAGGTAACTCATGTGAGCATGAACAATGCCGAAATAGAACATTGGAAGGGGGAGAACGGAAAACGTTTTATAGACCGGATGAGAACATTGAATCATGAGAAGGGACCTGCCGAAGGGTGTTTGTGATTATTGAGAGTGCGGAATTACAGGATTACAAATTAGAGTTGAAGAGTGAATCGCAGTGGCGCACGTACATACGTGGAAGGGAGAAAAGTAAAGTAAGAAGACGCCGGGATGGATAGATTTGTCTTGGGGCAAGGCAAAGAATGTTCTGTCACAGCCTTCGGATCGGGAATGCCCTGTGGCTGCGCACGCTCGATGTGGAGGACAAATACATAACAAATATGTTTATTCAAAGCAGAATGTTACATAATATAAATTTTTCCTAGGTGAATTACCACCAGTTTGGGTTTCTATATATAATGGTCATGTCCCGACTGCTACTGTCGAACGGCAAGAATATCGTGGTATAATTACCTCCTTTCACTCACTTCCCTGGCGTCCCTCTCGTCCTCCCCTTCCATCTTTCCTTCCGCGGTAAATACTTTCCAAGAGGTGTAGTGACAACTCTTCGATCACAACATTGAATGCTCTCCTCCCACAAACCTCGACATCTGACTCCGTCTTCCATTCTCTCCTCCGCTTGTTCTACTTCCTCCTCATCTCTCAGCAGCGACGACCCTCTCATTCTTCTCGACTTTCCAATGTATAACCCTACTCATTCTCACTACGATGTGCACTATGATCCACAACCACAGCAACAACCAACGTCGTCGTATGACAATCCTGCTCCTGGTGCATACAGCATCCCAGGCTCTCATCCTCACCCTGCACATTTTGATGACCAGTTGATTGCTGCTCATACGCTTTTCAACGCTCAGCAGCCCCCCCAGCCTCAGTCGAGTCAACAGCAGCAGCAGCAGTTTGACACTCAGTCAATATCAGATGGTTCGGTACGTGAGCTTATCCATCGTTTTTGGGAAAAGCAGCATCCACTCACAAACTCGATCGCCCCCTCTTCTTCTTCTTTTTTTTTTTGACTGGCTATGACCGACATCTTACGGACTCGTTGCTTAACGCGCGCCTTCGCGGCGCATCTCTCCCCTGTTAACCCTATCTGTCTGTCATCTCCCGTTTTGTTCAACAGTATCACTCCGCGGGCTATCTGAGCGATAATAACTATCAACCACAACATCCCTTGCAGCACCCTTCCTCATATGATGGTTCTGCGTCCGCTTTACCTCCTCCCCCAACCACAACCTCTCACGACGCTAATGGCTGGCCTTACCAGGTCCCCCAGCAACAGCAACAGCCCCATCATCAGAATCCACACCAACTGTCACCAGATCCCCATACGCAATTCCGCACTCCAGGTTCAGATTGGGGTGGTTCATCTGAGGGACAATCTCCGTACTCTTTCTCGTCTTCTCTTCCAGATTTACAACCTATGCCCCCTTCTCATCCGTTCTACCAACCACAACCACTACTATCTTATCCGCCGCCACACACACAGGGACAACAAGGACAGCCACACGACCCATCCTCCGCATCCCCCTACTACGCAGACATTCATCGACCAGGTTCTCAGTCTTCGCTGTCTGGGTCGGTGTCACCCGCTAGCTTTCATGATCCGTTAAGTCCTGTGCCGATGCAGACTTTTCCCAGTGCGGCTGCGGGAGGAACGCCAGGTGCGGGTGGGGGATCCTCGAATTATCCCTCCCCGTATTCCGATGGCCAGATTCAAGGGAGTGGAGGGCCAACGCATTTGAATCAAGTCAGTTCGCAGCTATCCACGTTGAGGATTGAACAGCAACAGCAGCAGCAGCAGCAGCAACAGCATGGTCAACACGCTTCTACTTCAACGTCTGTCGTCCCTATGTCTGTACCCATCTCTGCTCAACCAGTGACGGGCTCGTATAATTTACCACCACCCGCTTCGCCAATGTCGCCTCAAGGATCGTCCAATCATTCTCATTCTCATTCCCATCGTTCGTACGATTCGTTCGAACTTGAGGCTCCTTCGTCACATCCTCATACGCCTTCCGTTCATTCTTCTACCCATCAATCACATCCCCATTCACAAGCGCAACCAGTACAAGCATCGCCCAGTACACATTCGCATTCCTCCTTGTCTCAACATTCACATCCCATAAATGGAGGAGCAGCATCCCGATCACGCCAGGCCCAAATGTCCATGTCCGAGGATTTATCCCATTCTCGTTCGACTCATTCTCATTCACATATGCATTCTCCTCGTTCCCATCATCATTCCCATTCGCATTCATCACGCTCACACCCTTATGCCCACTCAACCTCAACTACATCATCGCCTCATCCCCATCCTTCGGCCTCTGCCTCGAACTCAAACCCAAACTCTTCGACATCCCCTAGACATCCAATCGCCAACGCTACTTCGACCACAAACAACACCTCCGCCACATCCGCGTCCACCTCCAACAACAACTCCATGCCCACCATGTCGGCATCTGTTCCAATCCCCATCTCGATCTCAGCGAGTGGCAAACCCCTGATGCCTGGGACACCTACCCATCCTGATATACCTAGACCTGTTAATGTGCCTTCACCGGCCCCTGTCCCTGGGTTGATCAAGAAGAGTAGAGGGAGGCAGGTACCCAGTGTTGCTGGTGTCGGGGGGAAGGGCGAGGAGAGTAGAGAGAGAAGTGCAGATGTGGGAGGAGTTGGGCTTACGAGGAGTGGGAGTATTGGAAGGGGAGTAGGTGGGGGTGAGAGGGGGAGGGACGGAATGACAGGTGCAGCTATGAACATTTTGGCACTCGGTGGGACTGGGGGTGTCGGCACGAGTTTTGGCGTCGGTGGCGCTGGTGCTGGGAGCAAGATGGGGAGGGGGAGAGGGACGGGAGTTGCGCCGGGGAGTGTGGGGAATGGGAACACGATCGGGATGTTGAGTGGTGGTGGTGGCGTCAACGGTGTTAATGGAGCGAGAGGGACGTTCTTTGTTGATACGACGACCTCGAGCCTTGAAGCATGGGGGAGAGGGAACGGAATGCCAACGGATCCGTTATCTCGGTCAGTGAGAGCTTCGAATGCTCATGGAGCTATGGGAGTAGGAATGGGAATGGGAATGGGAGTTGATGTTGGTGTCATTGAGACGATAGACTCGTTCAATGCCGCTATGCGGAATCGTCATCCTCCCTCTCACCCCCACCCCCCGTCTGGTGGACTTGGCATCGACCTCAATGGTGCATCCAATAATGGCCATAATGGTGCAAATACCATTCCGCAGTCACAGGGGATCATGACAGGTGTGACGATCACAACGTCGGACACCGATATTCGTTCGAGACCGTTCGTCTGTGAGGTGGAGGCCTGTGGGAAAGCTTATATTCGGGCTGAACATCTGAAGAGGCACATCCGAAGCATACACACTAATGACAAACGTAAGTTTCGCAGATCCTTGTCTTTCGTTTTTTTTTTTCAAATGCTAATAATAATGATGATGATGGTGTGTTTAGCGTACGAATGCCCGTTTGCTGGATGTGGACGGGAGTTTAGTCGGTACGATAATTTGTGTCAGCATTATAGAGGTGTACATGGGCCTACAAGTGGTGGTATTGGCTTAAGTTCGGGGTCGGGGCCGGGGAGTGGCGGATCGAGAGGGAGGCAGCGGGATGGAGGAAAGTCGTAGTGCATCATCATTCCTTCGCAGTCCCCCCTCCCCTCCGTGTCATCACCCAGTTCCCCCCCCCCCCCCCAACTCCAGATGCATACACCTGTATCCCTCGCTCCGTCTAATTTCCTTCCACCCCCTCTTCTCCCTTCGAAGATGGATTCAACTAGTAGAACTTCTCCTTCGATCTCATCATCTATCTTATCTCGATTTTGGGAACCGTCTATATCGATATTTCCATTTTTCTCCTCCTTTCTTTCCAGTCGGGATTTTTCTTTCAATGTGGGTCAATTTTTGGGAAAAGGGGGAAGGTTGAGGCTAGCCACAAGACGATCTGGAATCTTGCAAAGCTTGAGCAAAACAGGGACTGGACCCTAACCTGGAACTAAAACTTCCCGGCGGTTCGGATTTGTCCTTCTCTCTTCTCTCGCCCTCTCTCTCCCTTTCACGTGCAAAGAGGAAGTTCTAGCCAGGATCTCCGCGGAGATCTGGACTTTTTTTGAAAACTGGGTTCCCGCTTGTGTCTTTAAATCCCGCTCTTCCACCTCCTTTGCCCCTTTGCGTCCCCGCATTCTGGTATACATTTGGAATCGCTTCCTCGCTGGCCCGATTTACATAGGATCCTTTTGCCTTAGCCTCTTAGGCACAAATACTCGCCGTTGATATTCTTCTCCCTCCCCCCCCGTAATGTTTTCCGCCACTTGATTTGTTGCAAGTTTCCCATTTATCGAGTATTCACTCGGAGACCGCGGTGATATCTGGTGGGTGATTTGATGGTTCGGGAGGGGGGTCCGGGGGTCTGATTACCGCTCCATTCACATCCTCATCGTTCACCACCGTCTTTCGCTGGTTACAACACTATTTCTTTCAAGACCGCCTTGATCCTAAACCTCGATCGTTGTATCGTTATACACATTTGCCTTTTTTTCCCTCTTCGCTCACTTCTTCGGTTCCATCCCCGCTCTTTGACTACTGCTAAAGTTCCCCCCTTCTGCCTCTCCAACTCTCGCTCGCCCTCCTGATCGGGACTGCTGCTTGCTTTTCGCTCTTCATTTTCCTTCCTCCCACTCTTACCTCGTTTCGTTTCATCTTTTTTTTTTCCCTTTCTTCTCCTTTGGGCCTACTGTACTCCCATGGTGTGAATGTGTGTTTGTAACGTACTGTATGCTTTCCTTATTTTCTGCGCGTCCCTTATCGACCCATTCTGTTTTTCTCCCCTCAAACTAGCCGTATGTTTCACCCATACTCAGTTCGGCCGACCGATCGACCGATTGATTCTTCCGTCTGGCTGTCAGGTCGTCTGCTCGCGCGTTTTGTTGTTTTTGTGCTTGATCTTTTTAGCTTGTTCGGCGCTTGATCCAAGAGACATGGAGGTGACAAGTAATCGTTTTTCTTTGTCGTTTTTTTTTAGTAGTTGTCTTGATGATATACACAGGTCTGCTGGTCTGAACTTTTTTTTCTGCTTCAAAAAATCCTCGGTTGCTGTTTCTTTCTCTTTTTTTTTTACTCCCTTTACTACTATAGCATGTCATA